AGCTCCTGGGGGGATGCACATAGGAGAGAGAAAAGCAGAAAACAAAATGAGGCTCCGGCCGGCCAGCTCAATGGAAGGGCTTGGGGCGGGCGGGGCGGGGTGCGCGTTTGGCCTCGGGCCGTCGGTCTACTCATTCCTGATGTTAAAAATAACGACAGCCTGGTTGCCAAGCGCTTTTCCGTGCCTGTCTCCTGCCAGCTCTTTGGGAGGCGAGCAGCGTTGAGTCTCCCCATTTTGCATATAGGGAAACTGAGGCCGAGAGGGAACGGGGACGGTTTTGTCAAGCTACGCAGCCTAACGCTCTTCCAGGGCTGTGTGGGTTAGAGAGGATGGCCGTGAGGGCCGTTGGACCATTGGTGCTAATGGCTGCCTCATCATATTACCTGGTGAAGAAGAGCCTAGGGAGATGAAAGGTGTTTCCCATATAAACAAAGGTTCTTTATATTGTGGGGTCGCAGACCCCCTTGCTATCTATTTGAAAACAATGGACCTTCTCCTCAGAAAAATGCACGTAAGCACCTGCCTTTCAGTGCACACTTCAGAAGGCTCTTCGACCCTGGAAATTCATTCATGGGCTTTTTATTAAGCACCTCCCACTTGGATGACCTGTGGCTGTTAGGACACTGGATAAGACTGATTAGCTTCAAGTTAGTAAGTCTTGGAAAAACAAGGGAGAGTGACTATTCCCATTGCACCCCAGTTGTAGAACAGGGTGGGAGATGCCTGAAATTGTAGGCTCTCAGCAAATATTTGTTGCTTTCTCCTCCCCCCTCCCCATCCCCTCCAGTTTGTTGAAAGTGATGCAGATGAAGAGCTTCTGTTTAATATTCCGTAAGTATCTCCTTGGTGCCTACCTCCGGCTAAATAAGCTGTACCCAGTTGCCTCCTCAGATGGATTCATTCACTGGTGTCAAGAGCACACATTTGCTTCTTGAAATGGGATAAATTAATTTAGTGGGTTTGAGGAGGAAGGCATCATAGCTTTCTTGGTGCAGACTGGAAACAGATGTAGTTGTTGAACAATAACTGAGAAATTGAGGTAAATTTCTTAGAATTGTAGAATGCTAGAGGTGGACAGGATCTTAGAAATTATCTAGTACAAGTTGACAGATGAGTAAACTGAAGCCCATACAGGGGAAGGGTCTTGCCCAGGGTCACACAACTAAACAGGTATTCAAACCCAGGTTGACAACCTTCTCTTTTGCATTCTGGCAGATTTACGGGCAATGTCAAGCTCAAAGGCATCATTATAATGGGAGAGGACGATGACTCACACCCCTCTGAGATGAGACTGTAAGTGGCAAAAGCTTAGGCCCTCAAGGAGCTCCTCTGGTAACATTTTATTCCAGAGTGGTAACATTTTATTCCAGAATAGTATCATTTTTCTTCTTACCGCGTTTAGTATTTCCCCTTTTAAAATATCTTGGCCCTGTTCTCATTCTGCATTGGACTACACATATTTCTTCCTGAATTAATGACTTTCTTAGATTAAGAATCTTTAGGCCCAACAGCTTGTCTCATATTTCAAAGTGCATACTATGATACGATTCATTCAGAGAGCGTTGTGTAAATGTCATTTGTTGATGACTTTGCAGTTTTCTTAATAACTAGCTGCAGATCTCATGTGATCTTTATGGATTCTATTCTTGGGGTTAGCTTCAACATTTTTCCTTGCTGTTTCATATAGTAATGATCTTATGTGTTTTGTTGACGTGGAATTACTCCACTTGAGTTTGTGTGGCATTTAGTTAGCAAAGTTGTGTATACTTCTTGCAACGCTGAATCTTTTGCCAACAGAGTTAGTACCCCTTTTGACAACTTACCTTATTCCAGAACAGCCTTCCTAAAAGAAAGGGAAAACTGCTTTTTGAGTGCTGGGGAAACATACAAGAAGAACTTTACATTTAAAAAGTTCAGGCCGGGTGCAATAACTTTTCCCACAAAACCAATAAAAGATGACATATAGGTCGGGCACGGTGACTCACACCTGTAATCCCAGCACTTTGGGAGGCTCAGGTGGGCAGATCACCTGAGGTTCAAGACCAGCCTGGCCAACCTGGTGAAACCCCGTCTCTACTAAAAATAAAAAAATTAGCCAGGCCTGGTGGTGCACACCTGTAATCCCAGCTACTAGGGAGGGTGAGGCAGGAGAATTGCTTGAACCTGGGAGGCAGAGGTTGCAGCGAACTGAGATCTCTCCATTGCACTCCAGCCTGGATGACAGAATGAGACCCCATCGCAAAAGTAGTAATAAAAACAAATAAATAAAAACTTAAAATCCTAGAGGCTGGGCATGGTGACTCACGCCTGTAATCCCAGCACTTTGGGAGGCTGAGACGGGTGGATCACAAGGTCAGAAGTTCAAGACCAGCCTGGCCAAGTTGCTGAAACCCCATCTCTACTAAAAATACAAAAATTAGCTGGGCGTGGTGGCACACACCTGTAATCCCAGCTACTCAGGAGGCTGAGGCAGGAGAATCGCTTGAACCCAGGTGGCAGAGGTTGCAGTGAGCCAAGATCGCCCCACTGCACTCCAGTCTAGGTGATAGCAAGACTCCATCTCAAAAAAAAAAAAAAAAAATTCAAGTCCCAGCACTTTGGGAGGCTGAGGCAGGCGGATCACTTGAGGCCAGGAGTTCAAGATCAGCCTGGTCAACATGGCGAAACCCTGTCTCTACTAAAAATACAAAAATTAGCTGGGCGTGGTGGCACAGGCCTGTAATCCTAGCTACTAGAGAGGCTAAAGCATGAAAATCACTTGAACCGGGGAGGTACAGGTTGCAGTGAGCCAAGATTGCACCACTGCACTCCAGCCTGGACAACAGAGTGAGACTCTATCTCAAAAAAAAAAATTCATCTGAAAAATTGATTAATTTAAAGGACTTTAGAGAGATTTAAGATATATTGTAGTTGAGTATTAGAAATATGAATTTGGAAGCAAATACATGTGTTTAATCATTTTAAGGAAATAATACCTTTGATGCTTTTGGAGACTCATTTACTTGGAAGATGATGGACTGACCTGAGAATATTAGGCATCCATACTGCATTGTGATTTAGAGTGTGGGGTCTGGAGTAAACTGGGTTCAAATAATGGCTGTACCACTTGCTACCTTCATGACTTTGAGACCTTATCTTCTATGGATTTTCTGGATTTTCTCATATCTAACATGGGAATGGTAACAGTGCATACATAACTATAAGATTGTGGAGAGGCTTAAATGAGGTAAAACATGTAAAGAGCTTAGATTAGGTCTGGAACACAGTAAGTGCCCGATTTTGGGTGAACAGGTACAAATACATAGCGCTCAGTTCTAAGCACACTACATGTATTATACTTTATCAAATGTAAGATGTCATTGATTGTAAAATGTACCATTATATTATATACAGTTAATACAGAAAAAAATGCTATTTAACTATGACATGCCATGGACACATCCAGAAAAGTTAGATTGAGAGTATTAAATCAGGGAAGTTTGAACACAGATGAGGTGTTACGTGTTACTAAAGAATTACCATTCAGCCAGGCGCAGTGGCTCACGCCTATAATCCCAGCACTTTGGGAAGCCACGACAGGCAGATCACCTGAGGTCAGGAGTTCAAAACCAGCCTGGCCAACATGGTGAAACCCTGTCTCTGCTAAAAACACAAAAATTAGCCGGACATGGTGGCAGGCGCCTGTAATTCCAGCTACTCGTGAGACTGAGGCAAGAGAATCACTTGAACCCAGGAGGCAGAGGTTGCAGTGAGCTGAGATCACGCTACTGCACTCCAGCATGTGCAACAGGGCAAGACTCTGTCTCAAAAGGAAAAAAAAAAAACTTACCATTGGGCTGGGCACAGTGGCTCATGCCTCAGTCCTAGCACTTTGGGGAGGCCGAGGCCAAAGGATCACTTGAGCCTAGGAATTAAAGGTTATGGTGAATTAAGATCATAAGATCTTATATTGTACCCCAGCCTGGGCAACAGAACAAGGCTTAAAAATATATTATTTATTTATATATTTTGAGATAGGGCCTCACTTTGTCACCTAGGCTGGAGTGCAGTGGTGCAATCATAGCTCACTGCAGCCTCTACCTCCTCAGCTCAAGCAATCCTCTCACCGCAGCCTCCCAGGCAGCTGGGAATACAGACATGTGCCAACATGCCCAGCTAATTTATGTATTTTTTTGCAGAAATGGGGTTTTGCCATGTTGCCCAGGCTGGTCTTGAACTCCTGGGATCAAGCAGTCTGCCCACCTCAGCCTCCCAGTGTGCTGAGATTATAGGAGTGAGCCACTGCACCCAGCCTAAAAAAAATTAAAAAGAATTGCTGTTAATTTTGTTATCTGTTGATGTTGTCAATTATTGTAAAATGGTATTACGTATATTTTGTTTGTTTGTTTGGAGATGGAGTCTCTGTCACCCAGATTGGAGTGCAGTGGTGTCATCTCGGCTCACTGCAAGCTCTGCCTCCTGGGTTCACGCCATTCTCCCACCTCAGCCTCCCGAGTAGCTGGGACTACAGGCGCCGGCCACCACGCCTGGCTAATTTTTTGTATTTTTTAGTAGAGACGGGGTTTCACAATGTTAACCAGGATGGTCTTCATCTCCTGACCTCGTGATCTTCCCATCTCAGCCTCCCAAAGTGCTGGGAATTACAGGCATGAGCCATGGCGCCCAGCCACATATATGTATTTTTTTAAAGCCCCCGTCCTTCCCCCTCCCCTCCTTTTTTTTTTTTTTTTTAAGATGAAGTCTCACTTCTGCCCAGGCTAGAGTACAGTGGTGCAATCTTGGCTCACTGCAACCCCCGCCTCCCAGGTTCAAGTGATTCTTCTGCCTCAGCCTCCCAAGGAGCTGGGATTACAGACGCCTGCCACCAAACCCGGCTAATTTTTGTATTTTTTACAGAGATGGGGTTTCGCCATGTTGGCCAGGTTGGTCTCGAGAACTCCTGGCCTCAAGGGAACCACCGTGCCTGGCCTGAAAGCCCTTTTTAACGGTATATATTATATATATTTATTATTATTTTTTTAAGACAGAGTTCTGCTCTGTTGCCTAGGTTGGAGTGCAGTGGCCCAATCTTGGCTCACTGCAACCTCAGCCTCTTGGAGTCAAGCGATTCTCTTGCCTCAGCCTCCTGAATAGCTGGGATTACAGGCACACGCCACCATGCCTGGCTAATTTTTTTTTTTAGTTTTAGTATCGACAGGGTTTCGCTGTGTTGACCAGGCAGCTCTCGAACTCCTGACCTCAAGTGATCCAGCTGCCTCCGCCTCCCAAGGTGCTGGGATTACAGGCGTGAGCCACCCCGCCTGACCCATACTGGAATATTTATAGGTGAAATGGTGTGTCTGGGATTGCTTTAAAATATTGAACTTAAACAAAATCGGGCTGATATAGGCAAAATCTACAAAATGTTGATCATTGAAGATGAGTGAAAAGTATGTGGAGATTCATTATGCTCTCTCTGCTTTTATGTAAGTTTGACCTTTTCCATAGTAAAGTGTGTTTAATATATGCATTACTTAGAATTGATAGAATTTCATCTCCATACCAACTGTGTGGAATATGTACTATTATTATTCCCATTTTACAGATGAGGAAACAGAGGTTAAATCAGGTACCCAAATTTACTCAGCTGGTAAGTGACAGAGCCAGGCTTGAATCCAGAAAGTCTAACTCTAGATTTTAACTACAGCGCCATACTGCTCCTCATTATGCCGCTTATAAATGTTCACTATTATTATTCTTCTGTGGTGCATCATTCTTAGAAACACTTTGAAGTAACCATTTGCCTTCTTAAATTACATGATTTTGCTCCAGCTAATATCGAGGCCTCTTCTGTGTGGGTGTGTTAATAAAACACCCTGGAATTGGTGGGGACATGTGGCTTAGTCTTTGGGAATTTGTGGGTTATAGAGACAGCTACTTTTTAGATTACTCTTTGAAAAACATTTTCTTCTCTAGCAGTTTACTTTTCATGTATTTTGAGACGGAGTCTCACTGTCATCCTGGCGGTAGTGCAGTGGTGTGATCTCGGCTCACTGCACCCTCTCTAGCGGTTTAGATGTGAGATTGCAGTCTTTTGTGCTCTTTCAAAATGGAAATCCCCATGTTATAAATTTTTTAAGAACTGTAAGGCGACTGAGTGTATGGCGTAATTTTTGGACACAAAATGATTGAGCATTGGGTTACCTGATCTTTTATGTCTTAACTGTGTGTAATATGTTTCTGCCAAAGTATGTATTTTTCCCATGAGTAAGCTGTTTTATTTAATAACATCCTCAGTTTGGTCTGAATGTGCTGAGTTGTTTATTTTCTCCATGCATTTGCTGCATGTGACCTAGTTTGAGCCGTCTCTTTGTGTATTGCTTCTCATGTGATATTAACCCACTCAAAGATGCCATGGGGTTATGTTGCAGATCTCAGCTCTTTTTTTGTTGGATTAAAGATATTTGTAGGCTGGGCGCAGTGGCTCATGCCTGTAATTCCAGCACTTTGGGAGACCGATGTGGGCAGATCACCTGAGGTTGGGAGTTAGAGACCAGCATTGCCAACATGGCGAAACCGTGTCTTTACTAAAAGTACCAAAATTAGCTGGGCGTCGTGACGTACACCTGTAGTCCCAGCTACTCAGGAGGCTGAGGCATGAGAATCACTTGAACCTGGGAGGTGGAGGTTGCAGTGAGCTGAGATTGCACCATTGCACTCCAGCCTAGGTGACACAGTGAGACTGTGTCTAAAAAAAAAAAAAAGAAGAAAAAATATTTGGAGATACTTGTATAAAATGTTATTTCTAAAATTTGACTCCCAAATTCAGTCTTCTATTGATAGAACCAAAACCATTTAAGCAGTCAGTAGAAAGTTTTGAAAACCTGAAACGTGATAATGCACATTTCTTGACTTTTCTTTCCTTTCCTTTCTCAGGTACAAGAATATTCCACAGATGTCCTTTGATGATACAGAAAGGGAGCCAGATCAGACCTTTAGTCTGAATCGCGATCTTACAGGAGAATTAGAGTATGCTACAAAGTAAGCACTGGGCCTGTCTTCCATTCTCTGTGGCTTCTTATAGGGCTTGCCATTTGTTTGTGGCCAGTCTCCTGCTCTCTTAGCATTGGAAATGAGTTAAAACAGTGAGGGAGACTGGATCTTTGGCTTGGTCAATTTTTGGCAGAGATTTCAGTGCAAGCCACAGACTTGTTAACTTGTAAGCAATTGGCAGATCTGAATGAACTCCTAGGGTGGTTTTAGGAAAGATGTATCTCCCATTAGTTTAGGTTAACACTAAATGTGCTTTAGAATCCCTGCTGGGTTATGCAGCATTTCTCATTCCTGTTCCTTGAGGGCAGGAGCAGTGTTTATCCCTACTGTCTTGGACAGGATCTGGCAGGTGCTCAGTAAATGGTCATTGAATTAATTGCCTGTCCAAAGGAGAAGGAAGGACTCAGGAGCTCTGACTTTGCCTGGCTTTTACAAGCTGGAGCTGAATTATTGTTTTACATGGTGGTGAGATACTCATTAAACTATAATTCATACCTTCTTTCCCTATTCCTGTCGTCCCCTAGAATTTCTCGTTTTTCAAATGTCTATCATCTCTCAATTCATATTTCAAAAAACTTCGGAGCAGATACGACAAAGGTCTTTTATATTGGCCTGAGAGGAGAGTGGACTGAGGTAAGATGGAGTTGGAAAGGTTGTGCCCTCATGTCTACATATCTGCACACTGTGGTGATGGGAGCGGAAGGGAAAAAAGCAAGTGTCACAATTACTCCCAGTTTGTTATTTCTCTTGGTTTTATCAGTATGAACTTTTCGTCTCATTTGACAAACTACAGGTATTTTTAAGGGGGTTGAAACTGTTATTTTCAACCCCCTTAAATATATAAAATATATATATATATATGTATCTTTTTTTTTAATATATCTTGGCTCATTGTGATCTCTGCCTCCTGGGTTCAAGTGATTCTCCTGCCTCAGCCCCCCACCCCGAGTAGCTGGGATTACAGGTGCCTGCTGCCACGCCTGGCTAATTTTTTTGTATTTTTAGTAGAGACGGGGTTTCGCCATGTTGGCCAGGCTGGTCTCGAACTCCTGACCTCAGGTGATCTGTCTGTCTCAGCCTCCCAAAGTGTTGGGATTACAGGCGTGAGCCTCCGTGCCCAGCCTGAAATTGTCATTTATATTCACAGTTTTCTCCTTTCAAATGCTTTCATTGAGTATTTTTGATAATCTTTTCTATTCATGCACCAGGGATAAGATAATACGATAGACAGGTTCCTGTTCGCATGGTACCCCCATTATAGTAGAGAGACTGAATCTTCAGAGTTACAGGGTGAATCATTGATCTTTGCAGCTTTCTGAAGTTAAAAAGTATCAAAATTGGGAGATATTAGATGCTGACTTCTAAGTATTAAAATCAGGCGATATTAAATGATGACCCCTAGAAATGAACCTGAATAAGGACTACTGCAATGTGTGTGGTGTGGGAAAGGACAGTTCTTCTAATGGCTGGCTGACCCAGCCTCAATTTTCTTGCAGCTTCGCCGACACGAGGTGACCATCTGCAATTACGAAGCATCTGCCAACCCAGCAGACCATAGGGTCCATCAGGTTACCCCACAGACACACTTTATTTCCTAAGGGCTGGCCAAGGCTCCCATAGAGGTGCTGTGTCAGTGAAGATGTACGACTACCTGTTGGGAAGGACAAAGGGATGAGGCTCCACAGAGAGTTGGCTGCCACAGCCTCTGCCAAGCTTTGTCTTTGGGGCTTGCTGCAGAAACCTGGCCTACGGAAGATACGACACCACTGGGAGGGTTGTGTAGGTGCCAGGGGACCATCGTTGTTCTCTAGGGCGCTGCGGAAATTGGGTCTTGGGCTGGGTAGCATCTGGCAGTCATGGATAACGTTTGCTTTTCCAGTCAATGTGGCCATGTGATTCCAAGTGTCATGTTGCTTTGTGGCAGGATTGTTGTGTGACTTGTTTTTTGTTTTGTTTTGTTTTTTTTAAAGGAAACTTTGTGGGTTATAGGAAACTTTCTGACGCCTCAGGATTGTGTTAATAGTAGCCATCAGGAGGGTCTCCAATTAAAACACTTGTTCCTGCTTGCTCCTTTCCCCTCTCATTGTTCAGCATTCTTGTCAAGTTGCCCAGCTTGGAGTTGTCTGTCACGCACATGTGTCCTGTGGTTATAGCTAGAAGGTCAGGAGTCTCCTGCTGATGCGTGATAGCTTAAGCTTGGGGAGAAGGTCTTTTCCACTGCCTAGCTAAGCAGTCTGGGGAGAGCATGGGGATCATTTCTGTGTGTGTGGGTAATCTGGTCGGTAAGATTGAGACTTAGTTAAGATTTCCCTTGGAACTTCCTTAATGTTTATTAGCTTCTAACTAGTGTTGTAAGTCCAATGCCAGAATTTGGAGATCTGAGTTCTTCTTTTCATGGCTTTTATTCACTGTGACTAATAAGCTTCCTAATAAATCCTTGCCAGACTTAATGTTTGTATTTTCTTTTGAGTTCTTGATAGCAGTGATGCAACTTTCATGTCATGGGGAACTGTACTGAACTTTGAAATTTTTTGTTGTTGTTTTGGACTAGGTAGATTATAGGAAGTGCCACAATTAAATCAAGACTGGATCAGTTTTTCCAGGAAAGGTCAAGCTTAATTTTGTACAGTAGACCAAAAACACTCCTACACCCATATATAGTAAAGAAGAAGGTGGGGTTGAAAACCTGTATTTCACAAAAATTAGCTGGGCATGGTGGTATGCACCTGTAGTCCCAGCCACTTGGGAGGCTGAGGTGGGAGGATCACTAGAGCCCAGGAGGTCAAGGCTACAGTAAGCCATGATTGTGCCACTGCACCCCAGCCTGAGGTGACAGAGTGAGACCTTGTCTCAAAACAACAACAACAACAAAAACCCTATATTTCATTTTGCACAAGGGAAGTAATTTGTAGAATGACATTTACAAAAATGAGGGAGAACCGATTCTGGAGCTTATCAGAAGAAATGAGGGTGAAGAAAGTAATTGAGCAGCTCATGTGGTCTGCCAGTGGACCAAAGACTTTGGACTTAAAACTCAGTTCAGCAATTCAAGAGAATGTAAGTATCTAAAAAGGGGATTTGATATGGTCAGTATTCTCTCCTTTGCAGAAAACAGGAACAGGTGATAAAGGGAATTAGTGTTGAATCTGATCCTTTTGGGAGAATTCGTCTGAGGGATTGGCCCATGCTGCTGTTTGGAGGATATAGCCACTGTTTCTCCAGCTTGTCCTAGGAAAACTCTGCCACCACCAAACCTTGTTGGCCCTCAAAATTTCTAAAATGCAGCCTGAAATAAATCAGAATACAAATGCTGTTCTTGAAAAGCACGAAGGGTCCTATTCACTCAGCCACAGCCTCTTTATTTCAGTTGGATCATTTTTTGGAGTTAAAAGAAGGGCTATGTTTAAATTTGGAGTAGGGGGAAAAATAAAGTTAGAAATCTTAGAGCAGATGAGCCCTTCACTAATTCCACTAATTAAAGCATTAATCACAGCTCCTGGGACTGAACCTCTGAATTTGAAGCTTCACTGAAGAATTTGTTGTAAGTGTCATGGTGTCTCAGGTGATTGAGGTTGCAGGAGGAACTGTTCATTCTTCCATAAGTGGGGACATTACCCTCCTTTTTCTTTTGACATTCAGTCCCGAGTCCTTGGCTTGCGGTGGTCCCCTAGGCCCAAAGTTTTCTGCCCTGAATCCTGGTATTGTAGGCTCCCTGACCTGTTGAGTACTTAGGACCAAATTGCCTCTGGGCCTGGGGGAAGTGCTTCGTTGAGCTTTCAACTTTGTACTGTTTTCTTTCTGTTCAAGGAAAACACTAGTATAGGTTAAGCTGGCAGAGTGAGTCCTAAGTGACTGAGGGGCAAGTGTGCCTCATTTCCTATTTGCAGATCCCCACACATTCTCAGGGACATGCTGCTTCAACTCAGTTTGCTTCCCTTCTGACTTTTATGTGGTCCCTGATACCTATTTCCACTTCAGCTTGAAGGCAGCGTTTTGTGCACTGTCTGCATGACATTGCTTGTGAAGGGCAGCGCTAACACTGCCAGTGCCTGTCCAGCTCTTCTGATACGGCTTTTGTATTTTTCCTAGGTCCTTTTTTGCGTGATTAACGCATCATGCTGTGATTTTACTGTATAAAGCATGTTCACACAACTTCATTTAAACCTACCAACAAAGCCGTGAAGGAGGCAAGGTGGTTATTTTATATCTCAGGAAGCAGATCCAGAGAGGCAGAATTTCAATGGAATCCCGAGGTCGCTGTTTACTTGCTTCCTTGAACCTCAGTTTCCCCGTCTTTAAGGCTGGAGAACTAGATCTGTAAGCTCTCTTCGGTTCGGAGTGTGTCATTCCATTCATGATCCTGGAATAGGGCATGAAAGCCAGTGGCAGACACCCGAGACCTTAAGAAGTGTGTCCCATACGGATGGCAAGGTGGTAAAGTTTATGCCAACAATAGTGTGAGGGATGCCTCTCCTTCCGGGCAGCCCTCCTCCAGGAGGCGCATGGGTGGTGGTAGCAAGTGGGAGTCTTGGGTGCCCTGTCTCGATTCTACAAGGTGGGAGCGGGAGAGAACCCAGCCACTGCACGACTGAATGACAGGGAGTGGCCCCACTGCCTCCAACATGGCAGCCTCTATCCAGCGAAGCCGGGTCCCCGCTTCCGGGTTCCGTACTGCCGGCCAGGCTACTTCCGGCAGCGCGATGGCTGGGTTCCCGGGACTCGAACGGAAGTTCCGGCGGGGGCGGCCGAGGGGGAAGAGTGTGTGTCTGCGGGAGAAAGAGGAGAATTGCCCAAGCGGCCTCGGAAGCCCCAGGGAGTGGAGGTAGCCAGCCGGCGGCTGCGGAGGAAGGGCATATGGGGGAGGTCGGCCTTGGGAGGGTCCCGGAGAGCGGGGAGGGGGACCGCGATATGGGGAGGATGGGGGTGGGGAGTGAGGTGCGAAGGCGCTGTCCAGTCTTGGGGACTTCGGGAGTGGAGTGGGGCTAGGCAAGGGGGTGTCTGGGTATAATGGGACAGACTTCGGGGTCGAAAGTAGAAGAGCCCATTGTGGGGCGGGGGCTTCCCCAGAGTCAAAGGTACAAAGCCCCATTGTGGGCAGGTGCGAGTCCCGGGTCGGGGTAGAAAATGTTACTGGGGAGGGTGACCCTTGGTCAGAACAGAAGTTCCCATTGTGGAGAGCAGGAGATCCTGGGTCAGGGTGGAAGTTCTCAAGGTGTAGAAGGAGACAGATCGGGCCCCAAGGAGGGAGCCTGGGCGGGAGGTGCAAGTCCCCATGGTGGAGAAGGAAGGGAATCGCAGCTCAGGGCGGGAGGTGCGTTCCCCAGTGGGAAGAGGAGCCCCGGGTCACAGGTGAATGATCCCATTGTGGGGAGCTGCCCTCAGGGGCCAGAGATGGAAGGTGAGGCCAGTTGGGAGGGGTGGGCAGGCACTTGGAGGCAGGTAGTGGAAGCTTCCGGCGAGTTTGGAGGACGCCGGCGAGTTTGGAGGATGGGGAGGGGCCAGCCAGCCTGACATTCTTTTGTGTGTTTGGGAGTCCCAGAGCGTGGTCAAGCCGGGGCTCGTTTGCAGTCAGTGGCAGCAGCAGCAGGTAGCTCCGTTTAGGGGGGCGTGGAGCACCAGTTTGGGGTTGGGTGGAGTTCTTAACGCTATCTGGGGACATGGGCAGCCCCCTGGGGGTCTGAGAATGGATGGGCCAGAAACTGCTGTGAAGGCTGGATGCGGGCTGGGTCAGGTGAGGTTGAGATGGGGGTTGGAGGCGGCACTGAGTAGGGGATGGAAGCTCCTTTCCCTGGCATTTTTCTCTGTATTTCCCATAGGGCCGGGAGCTGGGGAGGCAGGGACCCAGGGATGATTGGAGAGGAGGGGGAAGGCACTGACCCCTGAGGAGTTAGAGGGGGAATGAAGCAGGCGTGCCGCTGCCTCCCCTCTGCCCCCTGCCCTACAGTCCCTGTGCCCTGCCTCTGCCTGTCTCCAGCAAGCTCAGATCCTGTGGTTGGGCCAGAACCAGAGACACATGTTCTGGGCCACTAGGGTGGCTGCCTTTGCCTTTCAACCCTGGAACTGAGGCAGACTTCCTTCCCCTGTGCCCTGGGACTTCTTGCCTATTTGTGCCCAAGACAGAACCTGGGTGCTGTGTGGGGCTGATGGCCTGGTGGCCTCTTGGGCCAGGCGTGTGTCCTGTGCCTGGTTTTGCTCTTGACCGCCACCCCTAATGTGTGCAGGCCCCCGCCGTGGAGCCGTGTGGTGTATGTGTGGTAACACCATGTCTGTGCCCCTGCTCACCGATGCTGCCACCGTGTCTGGAGCTGAGCGGGAAACGGCCGCGGTAAGGGTCCCCTTTCACGCACGGCCAGACACTGTGGGAGCGGTTGGAGGACCAGCTGGAGGGGGTGTGGGAAAAATGGAGGTGGCAGTGATGAGCAGGGAGTATCCTGAGGCCAGGAGGCTCAGGGTAGTAACCTGTTTGCTACCTGGGTTCCTCCAGATCCTTGGGGGTGGGGGAGGGGTGGGCAGAAGTTGGAGAACCTAGAGGGAACCTTCCTGTCTCCCCATTTCCACCCTTTTCCAGGTTATTTTTTTACATGGACTTGGAGACACAGGGTAAGTGACTGAGGAGGGGTGCCTCTTAAGGAGGGGGCCTGGGCCCAGCAGTGGACTGGAGAGGCCTGTACGTCCCCTTCTCTTTCTACCACATCGGAGCCTTTTCTCCCGTCCCTCCTACAGGCACAGCTGGGCTGACGCCCTCTCCACCATCCGACTCCCTCACGTCAAGTACATCTGTCCCCATGCGTGAGTGTCACCCCAGCAAGGGAGGGGCTGAGGCTGGGGATCATCTGGGGGTGGTCCTGGCATCCCAGGCCTGTTCTCTCCTGTCAGCTGCATCCTGGGGCTTGGGCTCAGGGCAGTCAGAAGTGGCATTTTCAGCCTTAGCTCCTGTGGAGCCCCCAGGAGTGGGGTCCAGCACCAACCCCCAGCTCGAGGGCCTCCTAGACCTGAGCTCTCCTAGAACCCACACCTCCCTTTGCCCCTTCCCCAAGTACTCACTGACTAGCTGGGACCCCGTCACACCAAGCGCTGGGCTCTGCTTCTCCATTGCTGGTGCTTTGCTCCAACCACAGCCTCCAGCCCCACGTGGCAGGTTGCCTGGCAACACCTTAAACACAGGCCCTGCCTGCTGGGAGGGCCCCCAGGGGCGGCGCGGCCCCACTCTGGGCTGTGGGCTGTGGCCTCGTCATTCCTCCTGAGCATGCTGGGCCCTCTGGCTGTCTCCCCAGGCCTAGGATCCCTGTGACCCTCAACATGAAGATGGTGATGCCTTCCTGGTGAGTCTGGGAGCAGGGCTAGGCAGGGGGACGAGGACACTTGGGCTGAGGGAGCTACAGGAGGCTGGCCGGCTGGGGTTTTCTATAGCTGCCTGTGCCTCTACTCCCCAGGTTTGACCTGATGGGACTGAGTCCAGATGCCCCAGAGGACGAGGCTGGCATCAAGAAGGCAGCAGAGAACAGTAAGACCCCAGCCCCTCCTCTGCTTCCTCCTGCCCCCGCCCCCCAGAAAAGCTCTGGGCGGTTCCTCAGCCTGGCTCCGTTCTTGGGCCCCTTGGCAGCTTCCCCCCACCTAATCATGCCCCCTCCCCCCAGTCAAGGCCTTGATTGAGCATGAAATGAAGAACGGGATTCCTGCCAATCGAATCGTCCTGGGAGGCTTTTCACAGGTGAGGGGAGAGGGATGGGGGTGTGGGGGGTAGGGGTGGCAGGTGAGTGAGTTGTGCCGTCATGATTCCTCCCTTCTCCCTCCAGGGCGGGGCCCTCTCCCTCTACACGGCCCTCACTTGCCCCCACCCTCTGGCTGGCATCGTGGCGTTGAGCTGTTGGCTGCCTCTGCACCGGGCCTTCCCCCAGGTGAATGTCCCCACTGACCCCCCCACCCTTTGGGTCTGCATCCTTGTGGCTTGGGGACTGCTGCAGCACTAGCTTTGCCCTGAGTCCTATCCGGCCCCCAGGCAGCTAATGGCAGTGCCAAGGACCTGGCCATCCTCCAGTGCCATGGGGAGCTGGACCCCATGGTGCCTGTACGGTTTGGGGCCCTGACGGCTGAGAAGCTCCGGTCTGTTGTCACACCTGCCAGGGTCCAGTTCAAGACATACCCGGGTGTCATGCACAGCTCCTGTCCTCAGGTCAGTGGGGGACCATTTCCCACTCCCACTTCTCTGCCTCCAGCCAGGAACCTCTCGTGATCCCCTCTTAATCCCCTCAGGAGATGGCAGCTGTTAAGGAATTTCTTGAGAAGCTGCTGCCTCCTGTCTAACTAGTCGCTGGCCCCAGTGCGGTGCCCCAGCTCATGGGGGACTCAGCAAGCAAGCCTGGCACCATCTTGGATCTGAGCCGGTCGAGCCCCTGTCCCCACCGTTCCTGACCTGTCCTTCTCCCACAGGCTTCTGGGGCAGGTGGCAAGGCCTGGCCTTTCTTCCTGGCCTCAGCCACCTGGCTCTGTCTGCAGCAGGGGCAGGCTGCTTTCTTATCCCATTTCCCTGGAGGCGGGCCCCCCTGGCAGCAGTATTGGAGGGGCTACAGGCAGCTGGAGAAAGGGGCCCAGCCGCTGACCCACTCACTCAGGACCTCACTCACTAGCCCCGCTTTGGGCCCCCTCCTGTGACCTCAGGGTTTGGCCCATGGGGCCCTCCCAGGCCCCTGCCCCAACTGATTCTGCCCAGATAATCGTGTGTCTCCTGCCTCCACTCAGCTGCTTCTCAGTCATGAATGTGGCCATGGCCCCGGGGTCCCCTTGCTGCTGTGGGCTCCCTGTCCCTGGGCAGGAGTGCTGGTGAGGAGATGGAGCCTTTTGAGGGGGGCCTTCCCTCAGCTGTTTCCCCACACTGGGGGGCTGGGCCCTGCCTCCCGGTTACCCTCCTTCCCTGCAGGCCTGGAGCCTGTAGGGCTGGACTGAGGTTCAGGTCTCCCCTCAGCTGTCTCACCCCCACTTTGTCCCCACTCTAGAGCAGGGAGGCCGTGGGGGAGGAGTTGTGTCTCGTCTTCTGTCTCCATGTGGTTTTTGGGTGTTTTTCTTGTGTCCTGGATTCCGATAAAATTAAAGAAATTGCTTCCTCAGTGCTCAGGCCTGGCTGATTGTATTCCAGGGGTGGATAGTGACCATCTGTGAGAACCTGCCCCAGTGTAAGAAAACTTGTTTTTATTTTTAAATACTTTGGAAAGCTCTTTCAGAGCAGTATAAATGAGTGCCTGGGAGGAGGAGGTTTTGTTCCAGAGCCTTGCCCCCTCACTCGCTCTTGGGGGTCCTGATGAACTCTTGGACCCTGTGGAAGATAAAGCGTTAGAGACCTCGGCCTCCTGGTCAGTGGAGCCCTTGGCCTCATGCCTGGTGGGATGAGTGGGCCCAGCTGGGGTTTGAGGTAGGGGAGGCCGTGGCTTGGCCCCAGCAGCTCCAGGGCCCTGGGTTCCTGCCAGAGGCTAGAGAGCAGGCAGCTGCTGCTTTTCCTGGTCCTTGGTAGGGGAGGGTCCTCAGGCCTGCGCGCCAAAGCCTGAAGGATTCTGCTTCTGCCAGCGCCACAGATCCTCACCTGCAACACGGCGAGGTGTGTGCTCAGGACCCACGGTGGAATGCAGAGCCTCCCCCTACTCCACAGCCTGCCCTGGGTGGTCATGCCCAGATCTGATCAGCCCCTCCCTGGCCCCTAACTGCAGGGGTCCGGCCACCACTCACACATCCTGTCCAGTCCTAAGGCTGCTGTCCACCCCAGCTCCTTGTGGGCCAGGCTGGGGTTGGCGTAACAGGCTGCCACATCACCTTCCCGCCGTGCCACCACCTTGTACGGGATCTGGAAGACAGGAGGTAGTTGGAGCTTAGCTGAGCCGGCCCTGGCCCAGCTGCCGGCCAGGTCTTTAAGAAGCGGAAGTGCAGAGCAGCGGCTCGTCCGCAGGCACCTGGTGCTGGGTGCTAGGCAGGCTGAGACTGAGCAGTGCCAGGTGCCCACAGGAGAGGTGAGTGGGAAGGGCCAAAGCTGCTGTGCTGCTGAGAGCTGGGTGGGGTGAGGTGGGTGGGGCAGGGGGCCTACCTTCTTCCCAGAGGCCTTCTCCATAGCTTGGACCATCTGCAGCACTGAATAGCCTGTGCCCGTGCCCAGGTTGTAGATCTGCCCCGCAGAGAACAGGGTTTATGGAAGGAGCTGGACTGACCACCCCTCTGGGCCTCTCTGCCTGGATCTGGTCCCTCCCCTCCCTCATTTCTCCCTTCTCTTCCTACCCGGCAGCCACACTGCTCTTTCAGCTTCCTCAAGGCTGCAATGTGGCCCTTGGCCAGATCCACGACATGGATGTAATCCCGGACGCCTGCAGAGAAGGGAGTGTGTTGGATGGGGAGTCTGTTCCCCCTGACTCTCCCTCCTGGCTCCCACTCCTAGGTCCCCCTGGTCCTAGGCTCACCTGTGCCATCCTCTGTGTCATAGTCATTGCCAAAGACATTCAGGGCCTCCCGTCGCCCGATCGCCACCTGGAGGTAGAGATCAGGTCAGTTCCCCTCAGATCCCAGGCACCAACTAGAACCCCAGGGTCACTCCTGTCCCTTCCCTTCTGCCTTACCTGGGAGATGTAAGGCATGAGGTTGTTGGGTATGCCCTGAGGATCCTCGCCGATGCAGCCAGAGGCATGGGCACCTGTGGGGTTGAAATAGCGCAGCAGCACTGCGTTCCAGGTCTGTGGGATGTGGGTCAGGCGGTGAGGCCAGAGGCACAGGCAGTGTGTCCCAACAACCCAGAGCCCTCCCCATGCCTATTCTGTTTTTTTGAGATGGAGTCTCACTATGGCCCAGACTGGAGTGTAGTGGCCTGATGTGGCTCACTGCAACCTCCGCCTTCCAGGTTCAAGCAATTCTTATGCCTCAGCCTCCGGAAGAGCTGGGACCACAGGCACACACCACCATGCCGGGCTAATGTTTGTATTTTTAGTAGAGATGGGGTTTTACCATGTTGTCCAGGCTGGTCTCAAACTCCTGACCTCAGGTGATCTGCCCACCTGGGCCTCCCAAAATGCTGAGATTACAGGCATGAGCCACCGCGCCTGGCCAGTTGCCTATTCTTTATCTTTAGAAACAAGCAGGGGATGGGGCCCTCCACTGCGACTGCCTGAGCCTTAGCTTCCTCCTTAGCGGGGGTGTTCAGAATCCCACCCTCAGGCTCAGGGTGGGCCATCAATCAGTGGAGTCAGGGCGCTATCAAGGGGGCCCTCACCTTGTCTGCCTGGCACAGGTCCCGGATCATTTCCTCGATGAAGAACTTGGACTTGCCGTAAGGGTTGGTACAGCCACCCGTGGGGTGGGCCTCGTCCAGGGGCAGGTACTGGGGGTTCCCGTACACAGTGGCTGAGCTGCTGAACACCAGGTTCTTCACCCCATGGGCCTTCATGATCTGGCCATAGAGAGGTGGCGTCAGTGGCCTCCGCCTCACACATTACTCCCACCCTGTTACTCCTCCACAGGAGAATGGGGCTGAGGTGGGGAAACTGAGAGTGGGACATAAAGACCTGAGTCCAGGATGATAGAGCTTGGGCTCTGTGTTTGGCACTGCCTGCCAGACTGGGGCCCAGCTGGACACCCTCCTAATGTCTCTGCCCTGCCCTCTCACCTCCAGAAGCTGGATGGTCCCAGTCAGGTTAACTCTGTAATAATCCAGAGGCTTCTGCACCGACTCGCCCACAGCCTTGAGCCCCGCAAAGTGGATGACCGCCATAAAGCTGTGCTGCAGGGGCGACATGGCCAGAGATTGCTCTACTGGCCTTAGTCCTTGGCAATGCCCCCGGCCTGCCTGCCTGCACCTACCTTTTTTTTCTTTTTTTGACAGTCTTGCTCTGTTGCCCAGGCTGAAGTGCAGTGGTGCCATCTCAGCTCACTGCAACCTCCACCTCCCGGGCTGAAGCCATCCTCCCACGCCAGCCTCCCGAGTAGCTGGGACCACAGGTATGGGCTACCACACCCAGCTAATTTTTGTATTTTTCTGTAGAGATGGGGTTTCACCGTGTTGAGCAAGCTGATCTTGAACAACTGGGCTCAAGTGATCTCCTCACCTCGGCCTTCCAAAGTGCTGGAATTACAGGCATGAGCCACTGTGCTCAGCCTGCACCCACCTTTTTTTTTTTTTTTTTTTTTGAGACGGAGTCTCGCACTGTTGCCCAGGCTGGAGTGCAGTGGCCGGGTCTCAGCTCACTGCAAGCTCCGCCTCCCGGGTTTACGCCATTGTCCTGCCTCAGCCTCCCAAGTAGCTGGGACTACAGGCGCCCACCACCTCGCCCAGCTATTTTTTTGTATTTTTTTAGTAGAGACGGGGTTTCACCGTGTTAGCCAGGATGGTCTCGATCTCCTGACCTCGTGATCCGCCCATCTCGGCCTCCCGAAGTGCTGGGATTACAGGCTTGAGCCACCGCGCCCGGCCTGCACCCACCTTTTTGAAGAGACGCTGTAGTGCTCCCTGGTCCAAAATGTCCATCTCCTCAAACTCCACAGAGCGGCCTGCCAGCTCCTGGACCCGCCGCAGGCTCTCAGGCAGGGAGCCCCCTCCTGGTAGGGTACATGTAGGCCACATCATCACGACATGGGGTGCTGTGTTCCCAGGGACTAGCCAGACACACGTTCCCCACCCAGTGGTGGAGGTGGAATCCAGAGTTTTGCTTCTGCCATCCCCTCAAGTAGTCCCAGCCCCACTGCCCCGCTCACCACGGAAGGCGTTATGGAAGTTGTCGATGACCACGGGCAAGTAGCCAGCCTCCAGCAGCTCCAGCACCGTGTGGCTGCCAATGTAGCCAGCGCCACCTGTTACCAGCACCTTCTCTGCCATGGCACCTGGCCCAGGATACAGAGTCTCAGAGGTGGCTTGGGCTGCCCGCTCAGAGCTTCCTTCCCACTGGAATCCTGTCCCCTACGCTCACTTTGGAAGGAGGCAGCAGTGTGCCCTAGGTACCAGGCTGGCTCAGAAGTCAGCCCTGGGGCAAGTCTGGATACTATCACCTTCTGGCCTTAGGAAATTAGCCTCTTGGTCTCAGTTTCTGCCTCTGTAAAACGGAGCTAATAACTGTATAAACATCATGAGGCAGTGTGAGGGTTCAGTGAGGTGATCTTAAGGGCCCACCACAGCAGAGCTGGGGAGACTGACACAGGCACCTTATTTTCTAGTTCCACTTGTCTTGGAGTTGGAAAGATGGAATCTGAGGATCCACACTTCTTTCTCCAAGGTGACTGAGGAGTGGAGAGTCCTGGGCAGAAGGAAAATGGCAGCAGGATTGGGACTCCAGGGTCCCAGGAAGGAGTTCTCTCTGCTCAGACCCAGGCCTGTCCAATGCCTCCACCTTCGCTAGGTGTAAATTGGCACCTAGGCTCAGTGACTAATACTTCCTGCTCTAGGCGGCCCCCACCCCCTTTCCCTCAAGGGTCAGCTAGGAGGAAGCAGGAAATAAATCACATGGTCTCAAGGATGAGGTCTTTGCCAGGCAGGCTGAGGCCAGCTCAAGGGCAACCACACCGTGGTTGGTCCTGGAGCGGGCCCCACCCAACCCTCGCTCAGTCTCTGCCCATGCCAGGGCCAGCCCGGTCACTCCTGGCTCGGAGTTAGGAATGCCGCCCAACTTAGGCCTCTCTGGGTAGGCTGTGTAGACGTGGACTTGGCCAGGTGCGCACCTCCACCCTGAACAAACTGCGGGCAGAACGGGCGGGACGGGGAGGAAGCCCCAGACACTGAGGCCTTTCATTCCCAGCGACCGGGCCAGCTGCCGCCTTCCTCCACGCTGCCTCTATCCCCTTTTGGGCTCACGCAGCTCCAACTCACTTGACCAAGAGCTCTCTGTGTGCCAGGCTCTGTACCGGGCACTTTTGCATGATTTTCCTGAATTCCCCCAGCATCTCGGTGAGGCAGGTGTTATCACCGGCATTTTACAGATACAGACACTAGGGTCAGAGAGGTGAAACAGTTTCCCTTCGGTCCCACAGCTGGCGACAGCGGGCTGGAATCTGGATCGCCAGGCTTGCAGCCCGGCCCCCTCCCCAGGCGGCTCGCCCTTCCCCCACCGTTCCCC